TACACATAAAAGTGCACAAAATATTGCTATTAATTTTGATAATGATTTATCTGCTGAACTGTGCTTAGCATACTACACAGTCTGCTCTTTTTCAGTTACTTTGATTTGAGGTCCATCAATTAAAGGAGTGACGAGTAAACGTCAAGGAGTTGAATCACAGAATACTGAAAAGATTAAAACAAAACCAGATGCTACTAAAATACAGTTGCTTGGACATAGAAAGCACTGAAAGATTGTACCTTGTCATCCCTGCTGCACTGTCACATTAAGGATGGTGACAAGAACAGAAAGAGGAACAGAAGACTCAAGCTTTGCAGCAATGGAAACGAGAGCAAATGAAATACTTTGAGCTACTCAAGGTCATGAACACCAGGGAAGAGCAGTGTATGGTATGGGATTCCCTGGCCTTCTAAGCGCATGGAGTTTAAGGTACCCTCCTCGGCCTCACCTAACCTCTCTTTTGATACGGGCTCCTGAAGTACAAGTATTTTTCCAAACAGAAACTTTTTAATTTACAAGTTGTATTTTCCACAGGCCAAATTAAAATTTAAGTAGGAACATAAGCACTTAGAAACAAGAAATATTATTCACACCAGGCATTTTCTAATGAATTAAAAAAGCATTAAATATTTACATGAAAAATGAGCAATTTTCAACATAAGGATAATTTCTACTGTTCTGCAAATGAGTAGAGTTGCACATTATGTGGTCTATAATGTATTAATTATAATGTTCAGCTACAAATTTCAAGCTTGAGGGAAATCTCTGAGAGGCAAACGCAAGATTTCATTGGACTAAACTGCATTTTGGGACACTGCAGTCATGAGAACATGTTCTTAGTAAATTACATGATACAGCTGCTATAGCTGAAGTACTGCCAAGATCAAACTGTATATCGTAAACTTTAAAGACATAATACTGAAAAAACATGCTCACCACAATGTACTAAAACAGGGGATATGAACTTCTCTTTATCATAAACCTCTTGGTTCATCCACAAGAGTTTAGCTGCCATGTGCACACTAAGTTCGTTTTTCTCATGTCTGGGGTAGATGCAGTTAACAGCTATTTTCATTCACGCCCTACCTACAGTTACATTAATGAAGAAGGAAAAAATGTAATATTGCCACAGAGTAAAGAAGAACCATACTCATTCATCATCCCTGGGGGATGGGCTGGGTTCTTCTGGAGACAGGTTAGACCCCCTCAATGACTGGCCTCATTGGTTCAAGTGCTTCCAAGCAGATGAAAATTTGTGATGCTTCATGGCTCTGCAGTGTGCTGCAGTGCTCATTTCTGCCAAGGTGGGACTTCTCACACTTCATGTTAAACATTGGTAACAGCTACAGTGGCTTCTTTAGAGTCACTGGAGAGAAACTGTCACTTCTAATGTATCACTCACCTGGGATGCTGGTCTACTTGAAGATAAGTCTTCGATCATTTTTCTCCACTGAATGGAAAGAAAGTCTAGATGAACTCAGATGCAGGTCTTTGTGGCTGGCATCTAAAATCAGATGAACCTGTAGATCTCACTTCTAAAAGTAGGATTCATTGGCTTGGCAGTGGTCTAAAATAGGCTGAAATACAGCAGATTTTAACCTGGAATATCTGAACCTACACATGAAACTCTGTAGCTCTTAGTTAAGGACCTGTTACTGTAAATCTTGAGTACCTTAAGCTTGCATTGCCAGTGAAGTATTACTCCCTAATATCTGCGGTCCTCCATGATGTAGACGGCTTCTTCCCAATAGCTAGGCATGATTTGGTTTCATCCAGAATAGTGAGAGAAACCCTTGGGTAAAGCTTTGTTGATTTGGGGATTTTCTTACTCCATTGTCTTCTGTTCAGATATTTTTAAGTTTTCCTATATTGTTCAGTAAAATATGTTTGCATGAACAGAGAAAAGAATGTCTAAGAGATGACATACTCATCATGTGTCTTAATTCAAGCTTAAGAACTATTCAGGGAAAATAATTACAAAAGCCAGTATTTCTTCATAGTAGGTCTGGTTTAGATGTTGAAATTGCTGCTACAGAAACTGGGGATTGCTGAGCCCCAAAAAATTAATAAGATTTAAAAAAAACAATTAAGCAAGACTATCTTGCGATCCTAATCATTCACAAAAAATCCTGGAAACACTCCCTCACCAAAGTTATGTCAATCTTTTCTTATCAGAAAGCAGGAGAACTATGTAGGAAGCACGTTATCTGTTACCTACTACAGGGTTCTTCTGAGACATCTAATACCAGTCACAGTTCACAGCAAACAAAATACTTGACCTTGACTCTAATCAAATATGACAAGACCTTTTTCCTTCTGTGAAAATGTCTTTTGTACTAGTGTTGCTAGCAAATTAAAGTATTTTAACATGTTTGTCTTGCTGCTGTCTCCCAAGCAAGCACAGCCAAAGGTTCCCAGTGAAGGACCAACATGTTCATACAATGCATCACAAAGGTATTTTGAGTCTGGTACATTTAATTTTTTTTATCAGAATAATATATTTGGTATGTGCTCATTTTAAATACTACATTGCTTGTCACACTACATTTGGCAATAAACCTCTTCAAATATATTTAACAAATTGTTCCATGAGTAATAACTACATACAAAATATCTTCATTGAATTAAAAAAATCCATATGTATTTTCTTCATGAAATACAATATATACATTACAAGCGTGTAGTTTTAAGGTAAGTCAAAATTTGGGCTTAAACAAATTCACAGTGTCCATTTTACCTCTGTAATAAAAATCTTCACTTTCAAAGTGCCTGGAGATCTTAAGCTGTTTCTGTATTTGGGATTATGGAGACTGAGGGTTTTACCATCATTTAGTACTAGACCGCACATCCAAACTGTACATTACAATGATCAAAAATAAAGACTGTTGATTACTGAAAACAAACTTTGACTGTCCTTGTTACCTCAAGTTCTGACGAACAGATTTTCCAATGAGCTGGTCATAGGTGGAAGATCTGCGTTGAGCAACACGGCCTCTAATGCGGTCATTCACGGCAGCTTTACAAAGTCCTTGCTGCTTCAGAAAACCAGGCGCAAAATACTGAAGTGGGAACCCCAAATCAGTGGCCAGTCCCAGCCAAGGGTGATGGGCAAGAACCGCCCGGCAGCTGAAAGGGAGTGAAATTAGCTTCACGCTGCCTTCCAGCCCGAGATCGACCCAACTTTGTGGCCAAACTACCGGGCCACGCAGCAGGCTGAACAGCTCCCCTCAACCACAGCAACCACCCTTGGGGCAGAGCTCCTGCTCTCCAGGCAGGGCAGAGCCCCTCGCCTCCACTTGTCTCCATGTGATTTCAAAACCTACTCTAATACCCGCTTTTTTCCCTGAAAATGCACAGTGATTTCAGCAACAACTTTTTTAAAAAAGGACTATCAGTAAATTCAGCTAGAAACTAATCTAAACCCGTTAAAAAATAACCTCTGTCCTAAAAGGGAGAGGGAGAAACATTCTGATACATTCCACAATAAATGTTTCAGAAAGCTGATTTAAAAGCAAGTACTGACAAGCCATTTTCAGCCTTGTTTCCTAAACGTACAAGACTTTTACGGGTGCGTTCTATATCTTGATGTTTCTTTTACAATTTTTCCCAGCCCTTTCACTAATTTCAACCAAGCTTAGAGAGGAGCAGAGATCCCCGATGTGATACCTGCTTCTAACAGTCCCAGAACTGGTGACTGTCAGAAGAAAGAAACCCAAATTACTGTTTTAACTGAGGGAAAAATCAGATGGCATTTCGCCTGTATCTATCTGGAGAGGCAGCAAGCAGCTGACTGCCCCGCATGGGCGCATTAGCTGGGCAGGCACAGAGCACCAGCCCGAGGAGGCACGGCTACCTCTGGGCCAGCTGCACAGAGGCAGACACGGGAGATGGATTGCAGAGAGCAGGGTGGAAGCATTAGAGGCTGCTGCTGGGGACATGGAGAAAAGATTCCTCACTGAAGGCTTCCTAGGGAACACAGAACAGGAGCTGAGCTTTCTCCAGCAGAAAAAAGGACAAAGGATGCAAATCCATAGATGAGATTTCATGAGCTTTTGGAACAAGGTGTTTTCGATTGCTAAGGATAGAACTGAACTCCCAGAATTCAGAGAGAGGGCTTGCACCTAACATTTTAGTATCTTCCACCTTAAATAAACATGTTATCAGCTTTACATTCAACCCCCTACCCTGCAGTTTGCAGGTTTTAGTTCAAGATGTGAAAGCTGGAGAACTTCAGAATTCTGGAACAGATTAGAACTTCAAGGATTAATTATTTTGGATTAAAGAAGTTTCCTTCAGGCCTCAGCAATAGCTTTTCAACAAACTTGGTGAAAAGTATTTCTTAATGCATTAACTCCCATTGGAACCTAGGTATCTTTCACGATGGTTCAGTGGTCACAGGGATAAGTAGGGAAGAGTATAACACAGTGCTCTGAGTATTCTGCTGTCTTTGTCTTCAAGGAAACATTCAAATAAAGTACTTTAATATTCTACACATTTTTAAGAAAGGCATTTAACTCCTCTTTTTTTTTTTTTCTTTTGCTAGTTGGGAATGCTTGAGAAGTTCAATAGGTTTTGATACAAATATGCAAAAGCCTGGAATTTTCCTGTTTTGATTCACTAAAATATATGTTAAGAATGTCTACAAAAGGAAATTTGTAAAAATAACCAGCTAATGTAGGAAAAGTTTAGATTTATGCTTTTAATTTTTCATGACTGGGCTTATCAAGATTCCACTGGAATTTAAAAGAGGTAAGTTGAATATTAAAATGAGCTAAAATTCACTCTTCTTCAGTAGGTAAAGAATAAATAAATTTCTTTACTCAAGTGGTATTTCCTCTCTACCATAGACACAGAGGATTTGCCACTGTGGTTTTTCAATAAAGAACTGGAATGATTTGATTTCTGTACCTGTCATAGAAATGTGAGCTAGACTTAAGAAAAACAGAAATATGGCTTTAAGTGAATTGTTAATGTTCTGTTGCATTTCTTCAATGTTTAGGTTATCTCTTGCTTTCTTCCTCCTTAGAGTCAATTGATAGTTTTTCCCCAAGTTTCCTTATAAGTTCTGCCAGATCTTCAGAATTCTGAGACTTTTCCTCAAGGAGTTCATACCGGAGACTTGAGATGTCCTGTTTAATTTCCTTCAGTTCACCTGTAAGAGACGTTAGAAGATCACGCTATTAAAAAAAAAAAAAGGAAAAAACAGCAGACCCAAATATATCACAGTTATCATTGGATTTCTCTGGATTTCTTTGTTGAAGCAGAAAAAGCAGATGTTCTGTAGCATGTTGCTGAATGGTGGCTTATAGATAGGAATATGAAGGCGCAGTTCAGGAAACAAACTAATCTGAAGGCAAAAGTGGGAGAGATCACATCAGCTCACAAAACTCAAATGATCTGTTAGATGGAAGCGAGATCATGCAGATCAAGGGTGCCTGAGTCCTCCTGGCCAGCACCAAGGCCTCTCCCCGTCCGTAGGAGAGTGATCCTCTCATCTTCCGGCTGTACTAAGTGTCTTCGAAGCATCAGAGGGGTGCAAACAGAAGGCAACATTTCTGTGAGGTGCATTCACCATCTGTTTCCAGCTAATAAACCATATCAGAAAAAAGGCTGAAGCATGTGTATCACCGTGTATGCATCTCCCCTACACAGGAGAACTCCTCCTGGAGCACCCCAAACCAGCCGCTGCATTAAATGCAGCCTCCCTATGGGCAATGCACGGGCATTATGAGAAGTGGCAACGCTTTTCCCAGCAAGGTGTCAGATCAGTGATTGTTTCTAGTGGGAGAGCAGAGACAGAAAGCCAAATCTATGATTCTGTGATCTCTTCCTTAACTTCAATTTCCTGTTAATTTTACATCTTGCACCTGTAAACATGTCAAGTGGATTAAGTATTTTGGAAACATTTTTCAAGTGGCGTCTGTAACCACATTAATTAGTTTGTTTTGATTCTCTGATTAGAGCTAAACACACAATTCATCAACATACCTTCATTGACTTCATCACTTTCTTTATCTATCTGAGCTTTCAGTACGTATCTTTTAATGAGACGCTTCATTATTTTCTGCAAAGAAGAAAGAAAAAAGGAAGTTTTCTTAGTTGGGCTTTGTAGTACTGCTATGACATTTCAACATATGAGCTCTGTTACCTTCTGCTGCATTCAGACATTTCAGTGTAGGACTTGCCAGGTTAAAGGAATATAATGTAAAAATCTCATTTCATCTGCAGTAGATATTTAGACTTTATGATTCCGCACGTGTATGTCCGTGAAAGTTAGAACACTAAACACATCTTATGAATGTTATCATTCACAAAGCTCAATCTGGAGTCTATGAGAACGTTTAATATAGTTGCAGCTTTGATCTCCATGCAGGTGAAACCATCTAGCCTTTATTGCTGCCAGAAGATGATAATGACCCTGATTAGCAGTGCTAATTGCTAAACCCTTTTGCAATCAGTTTGTTTTAATCTACTTTCATATTTTATCTGATAAGTTATCTTTTCCCAATGTAAGGCTTTGAAAAAGTTGGACCCATATGCTAAGAGTCATGTAAGAACCTCGCTGGGACTCATCTCACCAAACACAGGTAGTTTCTAATGTAAAGAGCCATATCTGTGGCAGTCACCTTTAACTCCCTCTGTGGAGACAAAAAGCAAACCTGAGAGGACAGTTCAGCTCAGACAGCTAAAATTGATCAAATAAATCACACCATTAGAATGGCTACTCTCTCTGCTAAAAATAAGGGGAACCTGGGCCAGCAAATTTAGATGAAAATTTTACTTTTCCAGGAAAAATGAATTCTGACCCTGATTCTCCCATTAGTTCAAATTACTTGAATAAGAACAAGGTATCTAATTACTTTTGAGTATCTATCATTGGCTTTAATATTTTCATATGGTATAACCCATGACAACAAAATACTTGTTTTTCACTACAAGATAGAAAACATACATAGATTTATGCGTCTTGGTTTTGTCTCCACAGTTTCAGACCTGACTGGAGATGGTTGTGAGGTGAATCATCCCAGATTAGTGGTTCCAGACCATCACTACAGTCATGCTTCCAAGTCCAGAAGCATGTTGATTCTAATAACTGGAGAATGTTTCAAATACAAATCCACACATCCTCTTGTTTATGGGCTAAAATTGTAATCTTAATATCTATCACTGTATTATAATGAAACTGGCTGTGAAAAAGTCAGAGTTTTTGCAATAGACTTGTACAGACACTGCATAATGTAACAGTGGCACAGAGCTAGCCTGCCCAAGGGGAAAAACTTTCTTCTGTCTTCTGATTAAAAAAGGCATACTTAATTCCACACCATTTTCTATACCCTTTTGCATTCAGACGATCTTGTTCTACAGCCCAAGCAGCTCTGCTTGTTCCTCTCCACCTGCTTTGGAGTATTACAGGAAGGAAAGAAGCAGCCTCTGGACAGAATAGCTGGGCATTACAGGGGCTGTGCTGGGTCTGTTTACGCTTAACTTCAGCAAGGCCCACTGCAGTTGTGTGGGAGGCAAAGAATAAGCAGACATAACAACATGAAGGATGAAAGATATTTGCAGTGCTTGAGGTATTAGAATGCAGAGGTGTGGCACAATAAGCTCAACTGTCTCAACAGATGGAATGGGAAGATTTTACATTTCTTCTTGGTTTTCTTAATTCACACTGCGCAGCTGACAACTCAACCTGTCTCTAAAATAAAAAACATTTTCCAAGTGCTTTAAAATATTGCACTATAAGGGCAGCATTTAAGAAACAAAGAGGAAGAAAAATCACCCTCAGATTGTACAGCAAAAGCCTAAATCATTGAATTTATTTCTGATATATACAAGGTCTGTGGATTTATTCTTGATTCATGTGTTGAACATAAATTCAAAACTGTCCTTATGCTGTCAGTCTGATCTGCCAGTTCTACTACTTCTTGTTTTTCTTTAAAAGTAAACTGGTTTTTACCTGGTATTGCCTTGGAGGATTGTTTAAACTGTTTAAGTGGATTTCATCTGAGCTTCTTATACTTGATTGCTTCCTTTGACCAAGCTGAAATGGAAACATTATTTGTAGTACAAAACAAATAGAAGAAAAATATGGTTAAATTACCTCATGCATATATCATATGACAGAACATTAACTGTTAAGCTCAATTTGGAGCGTATTAAATTACAGTGGTAAAGTCCTCATACCTGTGCGGAATTTCATCACAGGAGTTGAAACAAACCCTTTCAGACTGTGATGCAGGAAAGCGAGAACTGGAGGTTTTTGTCCCTTTACTCTGCCTCTTGCCTGCTCCTAACACGCTCAAGGGACCAGAGCAGAGCAGCCACGTCCCCGCGGGCCTTCCCTCGCGCCCCAGGCACACAGGAGGGGGACCTACGCTGGAAGAAGGCAGCTCTGCAGCGGCTCAGCTTTGTAGGCAACGGATGAGGGAAAGTCCGGGCAGGGTGTGGGAGAAGCCCAGGAAGAAGGAGAGGTGGCGGCATTACCCCTCACCTTTCTTTCATAACACTTGCCCATAATGAATGTGACCTCCACTAGCACAAAATACACAAGGAGTTTACACTAATGGCTGAATGTAATTGGTTCTGCAGTTCATGCCAGGGACCACAAAATTACCAGCTGACATTTTTGAGTAGCACCTTCTTTACTACACGTGCTGAAAGAAAAGGACATCACTCCCTGATGAAACACCGAGGATGCAATTTGTGTGTTTCATTACTGATTTACAGCTTTGAGAAGGACTAAAGCATCACCACATGGTGAACTGAGACGCGAGCTGAATGACTAGGCTGCAGCAAGAGTGAAGCAACTGTCAAAACTGAATGAATTCTATTACTTCAGACTAATAATGGGGCTAGTCCAAAGAGTAGTAGTGCAGGAAATAAAAAAAAGTGTGAATTTGATTGACCTGGATGAGGAATAAGTGGAACAGTTACTAAAAAGTCAATTCTCTGTGATTATACATGGTCCAATAAAATTGCTACTGTTTTGAAACACGGGGCTACCACTGCGGTGTCCCAGATTCTGTGGGATTGTGTTGTACTTCCAGTGACGTTCTCCATGTTGGTTGTCTCTGTGTCTTCATGCATCGAGCACCTACAGATAAGCAAACTGGGGCACTCGGAAGCCCGGTAAGTAATATAGAGTATCAGTATGCGGAATATGCTGGGATACAGATTGGTGGGGAGGAAAGCAGGGGAGGGTTAGATGTTTATGCAGCTGTACAGGCAGGTCACACATCACGGGAGCCTGCAACACAATGCCCGATGTCAGCGAAGGCTAAACCCTTCATGTAGCCATTTCTCCTGCAACTGAAATCATTACAAACTCTTGAAGTATAACGAGAATTTCTCATGGTTGAACTCTGATAATAAATGGAAGTAGGAATATGGAATATGTGATAAATATTCACCAGCTATCAATTAGAAAATGAGAAAAACACCTACAGCAAAGAGCTTTACTAAGGCTTTGTTCTAACATGCACGTACTGGCGCCAAGGCTAAAAGGAAAAACCTGGGAATTGTATAGGTATAAAAAGGGTGAATGTTTACACTGAACTTACATTTTCTTTTTGTTCTTTAGAAAGATTCATAGTATCTATATACATATACTTTTAAAAACATTATATCTATGTTCAGACTATGTTTATCTGACTAAGCAAAAATAACGATATAGGATATATAGCAGTATATAAATAGATATACGAATAATTAATATTTATCTCTAACATATTAACCTGAACTTGGATGGAATTGAATTAAAGTTATATAAAATGGGCAAGTTATTGTTGCTTTTTCTTGCTTGAATAAAGCTACCTTAAATGTTTTGAATATCTATTAGAAAACGCAAGTTTATCTAAAAGTTTTAATTTAAACTATGCATCTGATTTATACTCAAAAATAGCGGGCTTAAACAACTGTGTAATCACGATGTCTTTCAGGATTTTAGAACTAATAATACTCTCTTGGGCCTCACCTTTATAGCCAGATTAAAAGAGGAAAAAGATCTTCCTGATTTTTCAGCTCCTGGTTCCATAATGCACAATATTTGGAAATGATGCCGTAGAACAGAGCAAGAGTATGCCTCCCCTGCAGCAGCAGAGGAAAGTGGCCCTGGCCATAGCTGCTCTAGGGCGTGAGCGTGGGCTCCAGCTGCCTGGCTGGCGGCCCAGCCCTTCCTGAGCTCCGACTTCTTCTGCAGCTGTGACACCATTCATGGCCCTGTTACTTACCAGTGTACATATGATTTACAAATGCCTTTAATTTTATTATGTATTTTTTAATATTTATTATGTATTTAAAATGTAATCTGTCATGCTGGTTACCTCTTTTCAAATTTTATTTTGGTTCACTTCAAAAGTTAATCCAATGCTTAACTAAAACTAGATTTTAACTTGAAATAGCAAAATCAGTAATACGTGGTGAAATGAGTTGTGAGACACTGGAAACTTGTAAAACCAGACACACTGTAACATCTTTATCTTAACTTTGACTCTTCAGCACCCTGCAGTTTTTGAACAAAATAATGTGTAAGCTACAGATTGCACCCTGAAAGTTGGCAGTCAGAAGAAATCAGATTTAACTTCATTAAATCTGTTTATGTGTAACAGTAACGGGACAGAACATCCATTGTACGTTGCTGAATGGCCACTGGGTGGCAGAGCTTGCCAAGATTCCATTAAAACTTCATTTTTACACATGATTTTTGAACTCTTTTTAAGCTTCACACCTACGGCTTTCCCCTCTCCCCAGAATTACTACTAGAGTAAACTCAGCCTGTCACATTAGCGACTGAACTAGAATTCATATTTTTAAGCTAGTATCTATTGAATATCTGCACACAGGTAACTGGAGGGGAAAAATAATGTAATTTAAATGAAACAGTGATATAAACTCTAACAAAAATAACTCTCCTCCAGAAGTGTTGTGTGAAAGCAGAAATGCAGCACACATGGACTACTGCTCTTAGAAAACACCCTCTTCTCTAAACTTGCTGCTTATTTTGTCATTCTCTAGTATTATTCATGATTCAATGCAATCAGAAGAGTGATGGAATTACTGTGGCTGTTTTGTGTAGCACTTTGTTAAGGTCTTAAATCCCAGTTTTCAGAAGCAGCTGACAACCTGGAATGCCAGTAAATTGTACATGCTTGGACCAGAAGGGAGGGCTCCCAGAAAATGACTCAGCTTGCGCTCCCAGAACCAGAGGTCATGTGCAAGAATTTTAGAAACACCATTTTATACTATGAAAGTAAAAGTTCACATATATTTTGTTGTGTGATTGAGGGTTTAAAGCTATTTCAATATTTAGTTGGTCCTTATTTCTTTTCCCAAGGGCCATGCTTTAAGAAACTGGCTTATATAGGTTATCTGCCAGTATTGGCTTTAAGCTCAGGAAGATGAACAAGTTTTGTGACTCTTAAACCATAAACTTTCTCCTTCACAAGGCAATTTTTCAATTTAGAATAAAACTCAAGGCAGGTTTCTTTAAAACTCTCCTTTTTCTTAATTTCTTTCTCCCTTTTTTTGGTTTCAGTTTCTTGTTTACTTGATGGTTAAAACACCAATTCTAGCCTGAAACAGAAGAAAATTGTGGGTTTTAATGAACAACCTGAAAGAAAACATTTTCACAGCTTTTACTATCATATGTAGACATGTCTCAAGAAATTAGTTTCTGCTGTGCTACTGTTTGAACACAGCTATGTAAATCACATGCCGTTCAGCACTGATGGCATCTGCCTTTGTTTTCTGCCAACGGTAATCAGGGCAGAGCTGGCTCAAGGGGCAAAATTTCCCCGCTTCCCATCTTAACTCTTGTCTTTACACTCAGCCTGGTGCTGCTGCCACTTTTGCACTGAGAAGATGTGGGCTCTGCAGAAGGAAGACCTGCAGGCTGGGTCAGAATCGGCAAACTCAAGCGTGTGTGAACATTTCTACGTACAGCAATGCAACGTCTTCTATTGGTAGACGTTTAGCGTCCTCCCAAGTAGGACTTGCACCAGAGCGACTGGCTCTCTCCCTAGGCACACTTTGGGAACCGGAATGGTCCGGGGACAATAGCTTGCAGCAACTCTACTTTGGGAGGAAAACTACTTGAATAGGAGCAAGTCATTCCTGAATTGGCCTCAGTGCCCAGAAAAGCTCCCCATCACATATAATTTGCTAGCACAGCCACAGCCACCAAGTCTCGGGTCTGCTCTTGCCAAATCTTTTCTTGTCTTTGCACAGCTCATTGCATTTATAGTAGCTCCTTGCACAAGTAGCTCCTGGCTCAGCAGTCACAGCAGCACCAACCTTCTCGGCACAGGAGTCGTCCAAAGTCAAAGCCCAAAAAGCCTGAGAATGCCTTTGAGAAGAGGCCATAAAACAGCCTCAATAACATTGAATCACCAACAGCGAGTCAAATCTGACACAAAAACACTGCAGTTACTTTCCAGAAGCGCAAACGATGGAGGCATCTGATAGATTCAAATAAAGTCAGCACCACAGTATGTGGCATCCAAAAAGTAAGTAAAAATGTAATCATCTGGCAATACCAGTCACCCTGCTGGAAAAGCTGAGGAATAAATAGATGCAACTGAGCTGCTTTATGTTTTTCAATGTAAAAGCTTTTTTTTAGAAAAAATTTGATTTGCAGTATTCTAGCTTCTTTGGCTGGGGAGTGAGCACATTTCATTCAGCATTAGTTATACTGCAGTCTGCAGTGAGTGGAAAGCATTAATATTTGAAGACTAAATATTAATTCAGGGTTAGGAAAAAAATCTGATAAATGATGTTTGTATCCTTACAGCTCTCTTTCAGAGGGACTGCTGTGAAAGCAGCACAACTGTTATTGTTTCATCTAGAATTGGCAACTATTACACTTTGCACCTTTCTAGCCATCTGAATTGCTAGATTCAAATATAATTTTGCAAAGGAACGATAAAAATCTAGCTTCTTTCCTCAGGGTGTAAGAATGGGATTTTTAAGAGTACCTGTTTTATAGGAACAGAAATTTCATTTTAAGAAGTCATTAAAAATAAGCTTTTAACTTACATGCTTTTCAAAGTCACAAATTAAGTGAATTCGAAAAAAAATACTTTTGATTTGTTGTTTCTCACATTGCTCAATTTGAAGTTTATATGCATCTCCTTAATGCCATGATTTTTCAGCGATGACTTTATCATTCATGGAAGTTGTGATATCGATTTGCATCAAGCAGCTTGATGAAAAGTTTTGAAAATGTCAGAGTCATTAAAAACTTGAGCAAATGCAGTATCACCTCTGCTGGGTCTTAAACAGATTAGGGTTAGATCTCCCAAATAAAATGAAGTGAGATTTGTGAAATCTAGAAAAATTACCAGTAGCACACACATCTGAATTTAATAGCAATCTTCACTTTGTTGACATTGTTTGCAATATCTGTGTTTATTTTTATAGATTATTATGAACTTAACCAGAGGCAGAGGCTGGGCAGGGGCACAGTATTTTTCCCCACAGCTCCATCTTTTCGTTCTAGGATTGCAACCAGTTTCTCTTCTCTTTTACTCTTCAACTGATAACTGTGATGGAAAAAATGCTTGTCACATCAGTAACAGAGAGCTGACAGATGCATGTAAATTCTTCACTGGCCCCCAGTCTAATGACTAATGACTCATGACTACAGACTCAAGAACTCTTAACCTTGAACAAGCCTCTGCTCAGACTACTACCTGTTTTAACAAAGATCCTTCCTTCAATAAATGACACATTTGTTTCTGCTACCATGACAAACCCATAATTTCTTTTTTTGTGTGAATGTCACCATATGCTCACCTTTGTACTCACTGCGTCTGATCAGTTGCCTTGCAAAGCTCTTCTTCCCTAACATGTTACAACAGTGCTGGTCTTTACACCTCAAGTACCACCTAACACCGCGTGCTATTCCCCATGTTCTCCTAAAGCAATTCATTTGATTTATACCTAGACGCTGCAGGACAAACAGACTGACTACTAAGTCTTTAAATAAGTCCATGAGATACAGCAATGAATCAACTCAAATGCTTTTTACTGCCCTTGCGTAAAAAAAACAGACAACAGAATGCTTTACAATAAACGCAGGCTGCGTTCTCAGTGGAAGGACAGACAGGCTACCAACAGGGAATTTAGAAACTCTGCCCAGGCATGTGAGGGTTCTGTTAGCAAAGACAAAGCTCACCTTTAGCTGACATTTGCAAGGCCACTGAGAAGAGCTACAATAGCAGTACCAGGCTGAACAAGGAAAATGTGGGTCTGTTGCTCAGTGGGGCAGAGGATTTGGTGACAGTGGACTTAGGTGAGGCTGAAGGATGTAATGCTGCCTTTGCCTCAGGCTTCACCAATAGTCTCTCAGGCCTCTGTGCTTAGTGAAGGAATTCAAGGAGAAGGAGAACAACCGGCTGCAGAGGAGGGTTAAGTCAGGGGTTATGTGAGAGAATTTGACCCAGGCAAGTCCATTGGACCCAACAGGCTGCATACACAGGTGCTCACAAAGCCGATGAAGTCCTTGCAAATGTGCTATATCTTTGAAAGATCACTGAGACTGGGAGAGGTCCCCAAAGGCTGGAGAAAGGCAAATGTCAAACTCATCTTCAAAAAAGGTCAAAATGATGATCTGGGCAACCACAGGCCACTCAGCCTCCCTTCAGTAACTGGCAAAATAATGGACTGAGTCCTCTTGTAGCACATTTCTGGGCATATGGAAGAGCAGGTGGTGACTGAGAAAAGCAAGTGTAGATTTATGAAAGGTAAAACCTGTCCGACCATCTGGATGGCCTTCTGACATAAATGACTGGATTTGCAGATCAGGGAGATGTCATCTACCTTGATTTAGCAAGGGTTTTAACACTACATCCTACAATATTCTTGTACCTACGTTATGATGTTACTGTCTGGATGAGTGAACAACCAGATCAGCAAAATCCTGGTGGGATGGTTGTGCTTAGAAGGTAGTATAGGGTCTTGTCCTGGGACTTGGCCTTTTAAACAACTTTATCAAAGACCAGGTGTCCGAGGAGTTGCTGGAGCACACTCCTGTCAAGTTTGCAGACAAAGTCGAGTTTGAGGGGGGCAGTTGATAGGCTTGAGGGCAGGGGATGCCATCTAGGAGGACAGGGCTGACAGGAACTCTGTGAATTTCAACAAGGACAAATGGGAAGGAGTAACTCTTTCAACAACACAGGATGGGGACTCACTGGCTGTGGAGCTGCTCTGCAGCAAAGGGCCTGGGGGACTTGGAGGACAGTGAGAAAGACATTAAAAATCTGCAGCAAGTTCAGCAGAGCATCACCAAGATGTGTGGGGCTGCAGCACTTGTCCTATGAAAAGACACTGGGGAATCTGGTCTTGTTCAGCCTGAAGCGGAGATGGCTTCCAGCGTACCTAACAACAGCCCCCAGCGCATATGGGGAAGTCAAGGAGATGGAGCTGGGCTCTTCACAGTGCTGGCAAGACAGAAGAATGAGAAACAACAGACAAATTCAAACAAGAGGTAGAAGAAGCAACTTTTTGCCCACGAGGGACGGTCAGGCGGTGGCGCATGCTGCCCAGAGAGGCTGGGCAGCCTCCCTCCTTGGAGTTTTTCACGATGTGACTGCATAAAGCCCTGAGCAACCTGGCCTGACCTCTCAGTTGACCCTGCTGTGAGCAGGAGGTTGGACCAGACACATCCTGAAGTCCCTCCCGGCCTGAATTATTCTCTGATTCTGTGACAAGCAGCAGGAAGAACTGTAAATTTATAATGGTATTTTTGGACTTCATTGATTACAAATGTATGTCAGCCTGTACATACTGACTGACTTCAGTATGGACTAAGAATGTTGGGAAATTAATCAGAAAAACAGGTCCAGAAGAAAAATGAAGTTCTTGAAAATTAGCAGCCAGTATACACACTATACAATTACCTTGTTCATTTCTGCATCTTCCTGAAAGCTTTTCTTTTGGCACAGAAATGGCTTAGAAATCCATTTTTTGATTCTGAGTAGGAAATACAGCAAAGATTTCGGGCTTGGCACCAAGTTGAAGGGTACTGGAAGAGTTCTCCCTTCTTCAAAGTAAGAAAACCAAAGTTTAGCCCTTGCAAATTTCCATTCTACATCAGCATCATCCTGTAAAATAGAAACATAGTTGTTAATACCACCTGGGCTATTGAAGATGCTCTAGTTAAACTTTATGTGTGCTTTGAATGTAATTGGCTGAAGTTAATCTCAGACAGATCAAGAATTTGTTATAATCTCTGAAAACCAAATTTTAATGAATGGAACTGTTCCTATTAATCCATTTAAAATAATGCAGTTACAGAAGAACAAAGTGGAATGATACAAACATCGATTACTCCAGAGTGGGTACTAATAGTCTGCAACACAGGATCACAAAGAGCGACATCTTTGTTTGGTGCTCTTTGTAACATGCAAAGAACAAAAGCTCTGACTTAAAATCACACAATACAATGCCCAAGTTAAAGCTTCATGGCAACACTCAAATCCATCTGCTAAGGCCTGATTGAGTAGCCGCTTGCTTCGAACACTATCATGCTCAGCAAATAAAATGGAAAAATCCTACGCTAACGTAACAAAAATTTAAATCTTTCAGTGAGACTACCAACTCTGATTTCTTATCTCTTTAGTCTCCTCTGTAGCCATTAGTCTATTATCTTTTTTGTGAGGAAGACGTATTAGAATTTTAGATTAAAATTTTACTCTATTGCTTTAAACATGAGGTTAAAAAAGACTAGGTGATTCTTACCTAATTCCTTCCACTTGCTGGAATATATGATTAAATCATGTATGCTATCATCACCACAGTTTACATTTAATATTTACGACAGCCAAAACACTCACTTTATTCCTCCCTGTAAAGTTCAAGAGGTTTTTCTACAGAAAGGACTGATGCCATGTTCAAGGACATGACTCAATATCGCTGTAGCTGTTTTTAGAAGCTGTTTGTATCCAGTCACCATTTTTTGGACAATAGCCTGGTTTTTATTGCCCTGAACCTGATAGTTTGTTCTGCAGCCTCCTGAGTCAGAAGAATCTGAACCTCCCTAGAGAATATGTGCTGCTCTTGCTCAAGCTGTACAACGCTACAGCCCCAGACCAGAGCCCAGAACCTGGGAGCAGAGCAGTCTCAAACCACCTGTGCCCGCTGCTTTGTGGCAAGGGCGTCACCCGGGACAGGCTGGCATGGCCTAGCTCCTGGAGATCTGCTTCCTTTTTTTCTAGACAATGATAATGAGTTAGCCCTTTGTCTTCCATGGCATCCAAAAGTTGACGCTGATTTTCAGTAGCCCTGCTGATTACTTTGTAAAGTTTTGTTCACTGCAGAGGACTAGAGCAACAGTTGTTTAAACAAAAGAAGAAAACAGCACGTTACAGACTTGTGTGCAAGGTCAAGGCATAGGAACAAGAACGTTCTTGCGGAAGAGGGACACTACTCAAATAATAGCTACACGAGGCAAATAAAAGATTCACAGTGTCACACAAAGTAGCCCATCCTCTTCTGGAACATAACGCAGTTCAACAGCAGTTTTTTCGTCCAGTCTAGCTCTTACTATTGCAAGCACATGCAGCTGGGTAATTTCCAGGTATTTTACAATAAAAATGTAGAGTTGAATTAGTATTTTCTCTGAATGTATTACTAAAGCCGATCTGTTACTTGTCTTAAATAAGATATCAACAAGGAAGGTTTTCCAGGAGATTTAGACAATTATATGTAACAGTAAATGTGGTGATTTTTCATCATAAACAGAATTTTTACCTCAATTTCCTGGAATGAACTGTTGATCATTGCGATAAGCATGTTCAGCAAGACAATGACCATCGTAACATTATAGACTCCATAAAGAACATAGCCAATATTTTCAATAAACTTGTGTTTATAATTGATGACAACTGATTTAACTTCTGAGAGTCCAAATATAGCCCAGAACAATGTCTTGAAACTTTCTTCAACACTGAAAGAAGAAATTGAACACATGCATATATTACTGAAGAAAAGCTGTATATTCTAATTGTATAGATTGCCAGTTATTGTTTTTATGCAGCATACAAATTTTTCCATTGTTATAATGTAGAACTTTACCATAGTGGTATTATGCAGAACAAGCAGACTATCTAATCTCATACGTACAGGCTATTTCATAAAATAGGATTCCTAAAATTTAAGATTGACAATAAAACCATCTGACTGAGTTTAGGAATTATACACACATCCTCAAAAGCACATTACAATGATTCACTTTTTAACTGCTTCAATCTACATGCTACATGCTTGCCGGTAATGTCAATGAAAATAATAAAAATAATGAACCTGTGAATACTTTATTTCAATTGCACCAATAGTTCACTTACTTGAATTATTTCACCATTAATGTGATTAACATTCTTAAACTATGAAGAAGACAGGATGTCTGACTGCAAATAGGCATTTTTCAAAAAATGAGTCTCACAGACCATAATCCTCCAGTTGAGTTTTCACTGTTCCACAAATCCAAGGTAAAGGCAATAAGCCATGATGTGGGGTACAGGTTAGTTCATTTAAATACATGTATTTCCTCTTAATCAGTTTTTATATATATACACACAGACATAAACCTAAGCTCAAACTTCTGAGGTATCTCCTCCTATCTATCTCCATATGCTTGCAGACATATTTTCTCTTGCTTTGATGAGGAGATCTCAGTTCCCCTAACTAATAATAATACAAAAGCAGTAACAAAGTTTTCCCTCTTGGCCAAGTTTTGCTTCCTGGCTGAGTATACCTCGTAACAGCTATAGCTTGAATATCATGACAGCCAGAAATTAAGTGGGCAAGGGCTGCAGTGCATGGAAAATAATGAGTTTCCACTCCAGCACTTTATCTTAAAATCACACCTAGAAATGAGAGGCATGGCAAATGCATAGGAAATAACTCCTGACAGACAGACCTCATTCAGAATTTCTCTTCTTATGGTGGGAAGAAGAAAAAAAGAATAGCTAATGAAATAAAGAATAATAAAAAAAATGTATTTTCTCCCCTCAAGACAGAATAGGTTTCCACTGGAAACTATAGAGAGCCGGAGCTTAAAATAGGGATTAGATTTTTTTTTTGACTAGTAAGAATATACAGAGTTGTCTGAATTAAATTACAAGTATTTTATAATGCATGCCACACTGTAGCGATTAGCCTGCTTCAATTACAGACGACAGCAGCACTTGCTGGAGGAACCAGCCTTGCTCTCAGATGCTGCAGGAAGCTGCCACGCTGCTTTGAAGTGCTGGTGCTGACCGCCCTTGCAGGCAGCGTGCTGACCCCAGATTCAGGGTCTGACCCAGCCTACATCCCAAAATCAATGCGCAAGCCTGGGAACCAGCCCTGTGCATGCACTGTCGTTACCAATTGCACTGCCAGGTCATCTGATGTACGTACAGCTCTGTGTGAGGGGTCTGAGGTACTTCTGGGTTTTTATAAGCTTCCCCAGCCTAATGCAGCCCAGGAGGCCATTGGGCTGCTTTGCCACAAAGGCACATTGGTGGCTCGTGATCAACTGGGTGTCCATCAGGACTACCAGGTCCTTTTCTGCCAAGCTGCTTTCCAGCCGGCCAGACCCAGCCTGTTCTGGTGCCTGAGGTTATTCCTCCCCAGGGGCAGAACATGGCATTTCCCTGTGTTGAACTTCACGATGTCCTTATTGGCCCATTTCTCCAGCCTGTCAAGGTCCTTCTGAGCCACATCACAACCAGCTGGCCTATCAGTCACTCTTGCTCATCCATACAGGCCTCCTGACACCTTGGCTTGATTTCCTGCCCATTGAGATGGCCAATCCTGAGTGCTGAAAAGGCAATTCTCGAAATTCAACCAGCTTCCCTGGACCGCCCTTCTCTTCAGGGCCTTATCTCATGAGATTCTTCCCTGAACAGCCCAAAGTCTGCTCTCCCGAAGTCCGGGGTTGTGGTCCTGCTATTTGCCTTGTTCCTTCTTCTCAGGAACCTGAACTCCACCATCCCATGGTCAGCCAAGGCTGTTCCCAGCCTTCACATACCCAACCAGTTCATTCTTGTTTGTAAAAGTCAGATGTCACGAAGCTCCTCTCCACATCAGCTCCTCAATCACCTATGTCAGGAAGTTATGTCATTGCCCTCCACAAACCTCCTGGATTGCTTGTGCCCCACCGTGTTGTCCCTCCAGCAGATATCAGAGTGGTTAAAAATCCTCACGAGGGCCACAGCCTGCAAGTGTGAGGCTTCTTCCAGTTGTCTGAAGAGGGCTTCATCTACTTCATTTTCCTGATCAGGCAATTCCATGGCAGACATCCCCTACAGCATGACCCGTGTTGGTCTGCCCTCTAATCCTGACCAAAAAGCCCTCACTGGTTCATCATCTATACCTAGACACGTAAAGGGCAACTACATCTCACCTTCCTAGCCCATCTTCCCTAATTTATCATATTACTGTTGGGATCAAGAGCTCATCCTCTGATTTCAAATATATCCTTTAAGCACCAGAACAAGACACAAAATTTCTACTTAATCCAGGATGAAGAAATTTTTAAGAGACATAAACCTTATAAAACAACTAGTAAACTTAATACATACAATGCAAGCAACTGATTCTCCATAAAAATAGTCCACAATCATTACAGTTTCATCAGTTTTACTTACGTTGTGAATGCTTCATTTTGTTTTGCCCCCAGATAGTAGGAATAGAGATTAAACATGCCTATCATGAAAGCCACAAACACCATGATAAATATCACCATGAACTTGAAGATGTCTTTCACAGTTCTGCCAAGCGATATCTGCAGTGGTCCAAAGCTTTCATTAGCTGGTAAGATGTAGGCTATTCTGGAGAAACTTAATACCACCGCAATTGCATACAGGCCTTCAGATATGATCTGAGGATCAGACGGATCCCAGTTCACTCGGGCTAGAAACAAAAGATGAGAATTTCGGTCAGTATTTCAAAGCCCACCTTAGGCAGTTCACTCGAGGACTCCCTTTTGGTGAGTAACAATGAACCAGTCAGTGTAAACTGGAGTTGACTGCAATGGTGCTATGCAAAATTGGAACAACTCAGGACTGATGTCAATGGAAACTGCCTTGCCAGATGATATAGTATTATGTAGCTTAAATGAGTTACGTGACTTGTGCTTGTCATACCCAGAAACTGCGAACATAAACAGTCCCTGTTCACAAATTCTTCAAATGGGTGTTGCTGAAAACTGCATTAATATTTAGCTAGCTGCTTTTACAACTGTCAAATTTGTAACTTCCTGGTAAAATCTATAAGACTGCAATTTAATGGGTTTCAGAACATACATATTAATTGCTCTGCTTTTTCTACAGCCCGGGTAATGAAGAAATGCAGTCTTATCAGAAATAGTATTTGAGGCATAGAGATAGAAACTGATGTAATTCAGTATCTAGAGAAAAATATCTAATAAAGGGAAGAGATATGTGATAGTGTTGAGAGTAAATACAAGTAAACAGAGCTTAATTTTTTCTCATTTGATCAAAATAGCTTCCAGTCACTTCTCATACATGCCAAGCAAGTTTATTAGCATCTTTACCTCTTACTGGTAAAAATAGTGGATTGAGAATTATTAAACTAATATAACAGAGTTTCTGAGCAAAGAATATATGAAAGATGCATTGGTTATGTTGGCAAAGCAGGTTTGAGAAGTTCCTGCATCTCATTGCTTAGTTCTGCCCCTGAATTACAGTACATCTCATTTGCAGTTGCGCCAACACAAGTGTTTGCAGGACAGCATTGTGTAACTGAACAGATGAAATGACCTGGATTAAAATAATCTTGAAAAGGGGTGGGGTAACAGTGGGGTTATTTTGATCTTAAATCATTTCAGTGGCTGATGTCTAGAACAGTCCCTGAAGAGATGTATGAGCAGAACCAAGGGAACTATGATCAAATAGTAGAGATAAGAAAGAGAAGAAGAGGTGGGAATTTCTTACACAGTACATTGTGGAACTAAAGTACTGGAGAATTACTAACAGCAAATCAATTCATATTGGCCCACGAAGTGCATCTTAATCATGTGCCATCAACTCACCTAAGGTGTAGTATTTTATGTTGGGCTCCAGTGTTGGACTTGTCAGGTCTTTCATATTTGCATCAACGAAGTTCTGGGCTCTGGATGCATGCCAAAATGCCATAAACCTTGCTATGAATGATGCTGCAAAAATTGCTAACATACCAAAATCAAGCATATTCCATAACTCAAAAAGGTACTCCTTTGGACCTTGAGACCAGATTTCTTTACATTCAGACCATATCATGCCTGTATAAGACAGAATGGAGAAAACAGTGTGTTCTTTTATCTTGACATTTATTTTATTTGATATTTTGTTATGTACAGGATATGCTCTTGGTTGCAACCAAACTCAAAACCATTTTGGTCAGCGGGAGCTTGAACACAAACTAAAATCCTTGAACCTGTCACTTCATATAAATTCCAGTACTTCTTTCTCATGTGAGTAATAATAACAATCTTTCATACTGCTTTTTTCCTGTACAACTACAAAAGCTTTCAAAGAGGAGAAGGGGCTGTGAGTATTACCATCTGTTACAGACACAGAGAGAAACTGAAAGAGCAGAAATCACATTTTCTTATTTGCAGAGTACCCTGGGTACAGTCTATTTTACTGAAATTGCAACTATATGTGACAAATGAGCATGAAACTAAGAATCCGACCCATTGCTTCTTCAATAGAGCAAAGGTATCTGATTCCTAATTATTCCCCCTTAATAATAAAATATAGGAGTACAGTATTAGTTTATGCACACTCTTCATTGAGCAAAACCTTTTCCTTTTCAAGATAGAATTTATTTCAATATGAACTACATTTCTAGGATTCCAAAGACAGTTAATAAAAAACTCTGTTGGAATAACATCACTATTTTTTGCACTTATCAAATTGTCTGAAGGAACTTTTTTTGATTTTCAGGTAAGGACAATTACAATCTTAATTACAGTAATTAAACTCAATGCTACATCTGTATGCACTGAATTAATTTTTCATAAACCGTCTTATGCATGACACTGAAATAAAAGTAGATTAAATTAGCAAACTATTACTTCCAATTGGAAAATTATTATTTACTCATCTATTACCAGATGAAAACAGTGACATTTGGATAGCATATTTGGAAATCTAAGTGCCACATTATTCCCATAATACACAATCGTATTAATTTATATACAGCTATATGATGAAATAAAGATTGTCAGTATCTTTTCAAGCTATAAGAATCAGTTGGTGTACAAAAGGCTCCAACTGCAACCACAGAGAGCTCATAAAAGCAAAATATTTTAAATGCATAAGCTGTTGAACAGAAACAGATTTTACTTAGCTTGAATTTAACTCTTCCATATTACTGACTTAGCTAACAACCAGAACCCAGATCTTTACAATATTTGGGCTTTTAAACCCCATGGGAATAAATGGTATTAGACTTGTAAATAAGAATCAGACAGCTAAAACATTTTTGAGGGTCTGTGCTCAAGTTCTTAGGGTGACTGGTACTGCATCACCAAATTGATGCAGCATACTGTTCATAGTACTCATTTCATCCCTATGCTGGGATGGAAAAATCTACTGCTGAATGTTCAGGGGTCTATATTCTGCTTCTGTTTTGTCAATAGTACATTCAGCTACACACTGTTAATTCTGCAGGCATACTTGCAAAATAAGAGAATCTTAGCAGAAAGAGACAATTGGACATAAAAAAAACCTGGCCCATGATGTGGTAATCTTTCCCCTTGGGACCTGACACCACCTGACTAAAAAAAACCCAGAAAACTGGTAGATGCTTTCCTTTGATATTCATAAAACCGAATTCATTCATATTCAGACGATGTAGATTGCACCTAGGTCCTTAACCTGAATGTTTGTGATCAGCTAGGGACATGTGAATCCTGCTGACGTCCAGTAAGAAACATATGAGGCCAATGTGGGAGTGCAGCCAGCTGAATAAACTCCTTTTGCTGCAATTTTTACACAGAACATTAATAGCAAAGAATTAAATTGGGTCCAGCTTCACTGAAATCATAGCAAGACAAATTTAAGTGAAAATTAATCTTTACCTATTACCCATGAAATAATGAGCATCTCCATCCATGAGAAACAGGATGTTTTCATCCTAAATAGCTGTTTCACATTGCCTGTTGTTTCATTAGGTCGGAGTTTGGTGCCATCAAATCTGTCAGCTGCATTCATGACAAGTAGACCAAGAAAAATGGTGAAAGAGGCTGCATGGGCTACAAACTTCATAAATGGTCCACGCATTATCCTCCCCAGCTGCAACAGAGGTTATGAAACACAAGGATAATGCATTGCATTCTTCGAAAATAAAATGTATAAAAAGAACAGCAACACAGAGGAATATATATTGCAATAACACACAGGAAGAAATGTTCGGAAAAAGTTGCATACTGTAACGCCATGCTGACAGTCACCTTTAAAAGTTTCTATGTATTTGCCATCTTCAGGGGGGTAACCTATCAGTTTCACTATATATGTATTTTTAACTCAGTGTTTTAAAATAATTCTGGAATTATTTTGGGGCTTGTATGTCTTTTATAAGTAACCAAGAGAAAAATGTATTATAGTTGTCAAATTTCTTACATGCTAGTCATCTTTACAAGGTAACAAAGAAAATGAGATTTTGACACTTACTAAAAGCATTAAATTATCACCAGCACTGGATTATGACTAAAGAACTCTGTTTCCTCACTGATGTGATACTCAATTTAGCACAGTTATTGTGAAGTTTTCCCAAATTATTTTCCTTTTTTAAAAAAACCATGAGGCCTCAAAAGGTTGCGTTTATAGTTCTGTAGTGTCTTAATTTCCTTCCTGACTCCCTTAATGGAAATGTTCTCAACTTTGTCATGAAGAACTTTAAAATGGTTTAATGCAACACTTAAAAATCCTAAAAGTTCCACACAAACTCACTGAACTTTTAGCAATTAATTACTTTATTTTTGAGAGTGCCTGTATTAACAGTAAAAGTCTTAGCTTGTTCACTTAGTTGGCAGCTGCAGAAAAATTCTTTTTTATTTAAGATGAAGACAGTATCTGTATCTGACAAAAATTCCTTGGAAGGAATTGAAAGCAAGTATCACGGGTCTCAGCTGAGACATATAGTAATCTGTGGTCTGGAAAAGGGAGAAGAAAGCAGAAAGGTAAGTTATTTGTATTCGTATTTATGCTACATTTGTTTCAATATCAAAGTCAGAATTTTGCTGTCTTACAGTCAGTATTTGTAGAAACACAGAATAAGAGGATGCAGCTGAGGATGTGATGGTAAGGTCTCAAGTACAAATAACATTAAGAAAGCCAGACAAATGTGAAAAGAAGATACTGTTAAAGGAACACTGTCAAGGTTAGCAGGCACAAAACTTGATCTTCTTTCTCCTTTGTATTATTTTGCAAACCCATGCCATTCATTACGTTTCTCACTCAATAAAATTATCTTTTATTAAATAACATATTCCGCCAGCCTCATGAAATGAACTTCAGCAACCCATTATTTTGTGTGAACTACAAAAAGAACAGGTAATCATCATGGGGAAAGATTTTATTTCAAGCTTGGAAGGAACAGTCATAAACAACACACAAGAAAGCAGAGCTGGAAAATGATAAAGTACCTTGACAGTGTCCTTTTAAAAGCACGATTCCTGCGTTCACAAACGAAGATGGGTTAGGAGACAGATGCCAGAAAGAGAAATAGCCAGAAAAAAAGAAAAAATACTGAAGGAGGCAATGTTAATATAAGCCTTGATCAAACAATATAAAATTTAAAAGACTGAACTCCTAGTGCCACCCCCCACCTCCCCCTTCAAAAGAGACAGGAATTATTTTTTACATATATATAGCAAAATCTCCCTGGAAGCAGGACTGACTACAGTTGAACTGATTACACAAATGCTGGAAGTTATTATGATATTGCCATATAACAGTGGTCCAATAAAACCTTGAAACGACACTTTTAAAATTCTGCATCTCTTTATGGAGAAGATATAGGTCAGAAAATATGAGTCACGGAAAGAAAGAGCAACATGTAAAGACAGGGCCATAATCTTGCAAGTTTGGACTTTTCTATAAGCCGGAGTCCCTCCTTAATACACTTTCACCATGCATTTTGACATAATAAATTCCCTTCCTTCGCACAGACCAAGGACATGAATTTCTAAATGCTCTGAATCTCTTTCTGTAATGTAAGTGGGTTTGGGTTTTGTTCTGGGCTTTTTTTTCTGGTTTCTGATCCTCTGTGCTTTGGTCTTTGGTTTGCTATAGTTCTAGAGAGTGTTTATTAGGCTGGTTTGGGTTAGGCCAAGACATACAGTTGTTACACTGTGGATATTTTGACAGGTATTTGTCTGTATATAGGGTCACCTGAAATCGCTGGGGACTGGTGTCAGTGTCTCACACTATCCGACCTTTGTGACTCTGCAGAAATAATCAGTACTGCAGCATTTTGGCGCATGGCATTGACAAAGAAATGATAAAATAGGACGCCAGGCAGCACATCTGTCACAAAGGAGAAAAGGCGTGATAACAAAAAAGAGATAACGGAAGAACTTTTTTAGGAAGAAAATTTCCTAGCTCCTCATATACTGGACATAATGTTCAATTTCTTTTCCTCTACCACAGTGCAAAAGAGGAATGCGTATAACCCTCAGAATATGCTTCTAGAAATCATGCAGGCACTTATCAAGTCACTTCTTTAGAAATGCCAGCCCCAGGTGGCTGTGAACAATGAAAGATTCAATTTCAGATTCAGATCCCTCATCTTGGCCAAGGGCTGACTGAATTACTTAAGAATTCATAAAGCTAAAAATCTAAATTCTGTTATTAATTAGAGCTGAACAGCACAGACATTAGAGATTCCTGGAGATAATTGAAAAAAGTTTTCACTCTTTCAGATTGTCATGTAATAAAATAGTATTCTAGAAGTTTTGGGTTAACTATGTCAGTAGTTAGACTGAATCACTAATTCGAAATGCAGAACAAACAGTTCACAAAACTGAAGTGCCTCCACGTGGACTGCTGACCGAAACTCGAATAAGAGGCAACCTTCATTCCTTTCAGCATCTGACACTAGTGAATTCCTGCCAAGTCAACAGGACTTTGTCCACATATTTCTATGAAATTTCTTCCAGATCTGAAACTCTCCATTCATTATCTGTTGTCCAAGCTCAAATTAACTTCTTCCTAAAGGGGAAATAGGTAACTGACTGAGATGCTGTAATTTCATAAAGACATTTTTGCCTTTCTCAGAGCCATGGCATGAGAATATAAAGGAATGTGTCAGAATAACGCCTCTGCAAGCTGTTCTTTTCACCATAAATACTGTGAGTATTTTCTCTCTCTTCTGTCATGGTGCCCTACAATGCCAAACCTGGAAAAAGAATGAGTACTTTATCTCAATAGGAGGAGAAGAGATTTATAAAATTCCATCAATTCATACACAGAATGGACTCTGTTGATACAGATCATGTTCTGTATTGGAACCATCCTGTCCTGAAATTAAATGGTGAACATTTTTGTCTTCAGAGAACAGGAAAATCAAATTTTGAAGTACGAGTGAAGCACAAGGTAAGAAACGGCAACTGGTGAAAAAGGTGGATTAGATTTTAGATTTGTAGAATATAATAAAACAAAAAGCATTCAACATTTAAATTAGATGATTAAATACTGACAGAGGAAGTGAAACCTTAAAGGATGCTGTCCTTTCAACCTTGACTTTGAAAAGCTACTCTGAAATAGCTTTTCCAGAATACACAATGGCTCAAAGTTACTTTAAGATCAAAAAAATCATTGAAAAAGGAAAATGACAAATAGATAAGTCACTGCTATAGTTGAAAACCAATTACTGAAGCATGTTGAATCTCAAGGTGCATTTTAAGACAAAAGTATTCATAAAAATACTAGTCACTACACAGAAAAGTGAAAATTATATAACTGATTTTTACTGTCCAGACTGAAAGAAATGAAAAATATGGCAAAACAAAAAAGGCCGACCTTTCTCCTCTCAGAGAACAATAAAACAACCCCACTAAGACCTCAGTCCTCTCTTTGAACCTTCCTCTTCCTCTGGAATCACTGTACGTGCACAGGATTCAATCCACTAAAATCATGGATGCCATACTGCAACCTGTTGAGTAATCCTCACAGGATCCTATTTGTTCCCTCTAACATACTCTCCAGGGAAATTTTCCATCAGTGTCCATTTAAAATGGATAGTGATCAACTAAAACAGAGATTCAACACAAAGTTCAGAGAGGTCAGAGACTGTAACCCATCTCTGGTGGAAAGGCTTTCCATACTATATATCATCCAAAACAGATACAGTGGTAGCATCCAAATCCTCACAGTGCATTATAAATAGATGCAGGGGAGGCTGCGCAACTGCTTTAAACACCTCATGAAATATCATCAGTATTAGCACGGTCTTGACAAGCCAACACAGTTCACTTTGACTTCTAGAAAACTGTTGATGATTGTTTTAACTTCTGGCATTCATGTTTCAGCGACTTTTATCTATTAACTTTTAATAATCAAAAATAAAATTGCCTTTGAGGAAACTGGAATCAACCCACAGCTTGAACTTGGTCTAGCTCTGAATCAATGGGAAATGAGGATCCTTTGCACCTGCCCACCAAGGCAACAACCGAATGAATAAGTTTGACTCATTGTTTCTGAAGTACGATTTCTACAAAGCAACTCTTGCTCAACCATTGTAATTTAATTTAATATACATTTGCCTGTCTTAATTACAGTTGTCAGAACATGCAATCTTGCAGATATTTGATTTTAACTCAGCTTTAAAATAAAAACATTTCTGAAGTATTATTTAAGCATGTCAGTAATATATACGCCTGTTTCATCTTCGCCAGACAGGAATCTGCATGCAGATGATACAGGAGTTCATAAAAGGCCATCACAAGATTTCACAGACTGACCTTACTGCAAGGAGCAATCCAGTAAGCCATTGAAAGGAACGGCAGTCCTACTGCAACAGCCAGAACAACCAGAAACTTCACTGCCATGGTCTGCTGCCGTAAACCTGACAAATTCTCATACCAGATTGAGAGAAGTTGCTGCTGGCAGTTTGGATGTGCTACAAACTGTAACAAAGAAAAGGAGCACAACAAAATAATATTGCTGTCAGAATATCTTTTATTAAAATAACAGCTACATGAGGAGCACCAGGAATGTGGGAAAGGCAACAATTCAGCTGATATTCAAAGGAGCATGTAAGAAAACAGCTGTCACTCGCAGGAGTCTGGCCTATAACCCTCTCTTCTGTCAAAACCTCTGGAAAGTATAAGAAGCACCTTACAAAGGCAGATATTAATAAACAGTGGATTCTTGTGCACTGTACATTTTTAAGTCTAGACCTGGAAATACCATTAAAAAATTAACTGAAGCTAGTAATTTTTTTCTAGAATGGTTCTCTATATTTACAAGGATGATTGGCTGAAGGTGCATGAAATGTCTTTATTCAGGCAAGAGAAAGTGCTGAAAGAAAGTTCACTTTCGAGGAAGGATTAAGACTCAAATACTACAAAGGACAAGGTCAATGTGATAATTTCTCCTGTCAAGTGTTTTGCAGGTTTGTGTTCATATGCTGGTAGGTGCCCTCCAGTCAAAATGGTTTTCTTCTTTTCTTCCCTTCCTGAACACATAAATACTCCTCACATACACTTTTTAGATGCCCCCCAGAGATGTGAACTCAGTTTTTGTATAAAACATGCAACTGTTCCCTGATACATCAGATCTGTATATTCAGTCCATAGTGGATTTTTAAAAGTCCTGGTTCCCTATCTATTTTTCTTTGTTTGTTAAAATATGAGATTGTTTATTTTCACAGTGTTGATCATTGATCTGATCCATTTCATTATGCAGGAAAAGTTTTATCAAAGGTCTTGATAGGTCTACTTTAGAGTAACCTGCTTTTGAATTGAATTTTTGAATGAGCTGTATCTTCTTGACCTTTGATTGCACAAACTTCATCACACAAATAATTTCTCCCCAGTTCATACACATGTCACCTAGAACTTTACAACCTATATTATCCAAGAGAAGTTTTCTTGGTAACTCAAGGCTCTTGGTGCAGCTACTAACTCGGCTGATTTCACGGTGCACTCTCCAGCGGCAGACCAGAGTATTAGACTGACAGCAGAAATGAAAGTAAGCCAAAGAAAGGACAATAACTCCTGTATTCGACACTGCCTGGAGCCTGCTGTTCTTCAGAAGTGAGAACCACAGTACTGTTACCTCTAGATTGTGTTTCTGATCCTCCATACAGACAAACATACATTTTCTGTGAGACATGCAATTTCACTACGTTTTCTCAGTTTTCTGAATAACACACAACAGCTTGACAGAGACATGTATCAATATCTGTTAGCACGCAGTGCACAGGACTGCTGTGTTATCCTCTGGTTTTTATTAAATCTTACACTTTTCCAGTCTGCAGAAGTACTGCAAATTTCTTCCATTTTTTTTAATAGATTAAAACTAAACACAAGTAAATATGTACAAATTTTGCATATAGCTACACATTTTTACAGAGCCTTTTGCTCTCATACTCACTGTGACCAGCAGCCACCCTGAATATCTGCTTCTTGTTTATACTGCAAGCTATTTGGGGCAAGGATTCTTTTGTTTGTAAAATACACTGTGCAGAAGGGCTCAAATGTTCATATCAGTGTCAGAGGCTACCAGGACATAAACATTTAAGAATAGCACAATTATTATCACTATTATGACATGTCTGTTTGATCAACATAATTGCTTACCTTTTTAACTTCATACTTAATGGCGAGTTTTAAGCGGCTAAGGCTGGGGCGACCGTGTTCTCCATTGTTATGGCGCATCTCTACATCACCGTTCAAAATAGCTTCCACTTCTTCTGTATTTCTGCACAAATCAAGGAGTCCAACTACAAAATCCTTGCATTGCATAGACAATTTCTTGTAATCATTCTAGAACAGAACAGCAGAAAGAAGACAACCTGCTGTTTAGACCTAACATGAGAGAAATAGTTCTACATCCCAGCTACATATCTGTGAGCATCAATGGTTTGTTTGAATCTTGTTCTGTTTACTTCTGGTACAGCAGAAGCACAGCCCTTTGTTACCAGGAATCTATTTCCCCTGAAAGTTCAAAGACTAGGATTCGTCTCACCTTGGTTACCTTGGACATCTCCATTATCAGTTTTTTGTACTTGAGTTACTTTTCTAGACTGGCTTTAGAGACAATCGCAAGTTAAAAAATCACTTTGAGAAATACTGTATGACATATTTTAATGACTATCTGAAGTTGAGATGAATAGCACAGAGGAAATTTGTCTGTCACACAAGTCTAGAGAACTAGCTTAGATGTAGAAAGTTACACTGTAGAGATCTCAGCTGGACGAGTATCCTACAGACAACAAGTCTAAACAACTTCCCAACTTTCTTGAGAACTACATAAATATACTGAATTTTCTTAGGCCTTGAATTATTCTTGTAAATCTTCTCTTTCTCATTTTCTAACATCTCTTTTAGCTTGCAGACACAAGATTTGATTGCTGCTTTCCAGTAGTGTCAGCAGTGCTACAGATAGCGTTGTGATACCACATCTCTAACTTCAAATCAATGATCTTTAGCTCAAATATCTCGTGACAGGCTTTGCCGTGTGAGCCGCAATGTTGCTCTACAGGTTCAGTTGCTTTTTGCTTTAACTATCAAATATTCTTCTCAGTCATTGTTTTTCCAAAAGGCGTAAGGAAAAAGATATTTGGATCATTGCAATCCAGTTTGTTAAACACTGCTAACTTGCAGCTTGTTTGGGTCATAAAAGATGAATACAGCTAGACAGACTGGGAGTTAGATGGATATAGGTATAGATGCACATCTAAAGCTAAAAAAAGTGTACAGATATGATGCCCCTGGCTTAGATCTTACAAGAGATTTACTCATACATGTGTCAACAACTTCTGATATTTTTGTTAACTCTCCTAATTTTAATGTCTTAAAAAGATGAAATTACTATAGATTTTTTCCCAGACAACAGAATGAAAAAACCCCCAACTGCCCCATACCACACAGGACTGCTCATGTAGTCTCTATTTCATGTTCAATGTAACATTCTGTGAATGCTTTTATTACAGTTACACATTTCCCCCTCTTCTGGTCTGTTCTTCATAGCATTCCCCCTTCTCCCACCCTTAGTCTCTGTTTACTCCCTTCTTTTTAATTACTACCCTTCATATTAACTGCCATCTAATGCACATCCTGGAAGAGAAACCATTATTTTGAGTATAGGGAATACCCTAACTTATTTGCCGAGGGTGTACTTCATGCATGTTCGTGCTTTATTACCCACAACACCACCACATCAGTTTATTACTTGGATATATTAAAGGATTCTACCGAAGTTTCACATTTCACTTCACTTAGATGGATGCAAACATTCATAGACATATAGCTACAGACACTACTGTATGTCTACATAAAACTGCTAGTGATTTATTTTTTTAATAATGTAAGCAAGATAGCTCAGATCTGTCATAAGAGAAAGGAATTTTAATGTCATTTCTCTACAAAGACAACAGACGCTAAATACTAAAACTAAACATTTCACAACACGCTGTGTATTTTTTTATTGCATTATTTATTTATTTATTTTTCCCTCTCTTCTGAAGAATAACAATAGAGATTAACCAAAATCCTGACTTCTTGGCACTGCAGAAAGATGTTTTTTGAGAGTAATATATCACCTTCTGTTTGGCTTTCATTTTTGTAGCAGCAGCTAAGATAAGCTGCTTTATACAATCATTTTAATACATAAATTTCCTCTACAAAATGAAATGAAAAGTAGCCATTTCAGATTCACAGACAAAGGAAAAACATATAGTCAGTGCAGGCACCTTTGCATGATTTGATACCATGAGCTGTTCCAAACTGACAGCTGACCCTTGGACATCAAATGAAAAAAGGAATACTTTCAATAAATTTAGGAACAAAATAATTTGGCCTTCATAAAATAACTATTACAAAATATTGTAATATATTTGTAGTATATTGGCATGTGCATATTTTCTGGTAGGAAATACACAGAATCATAGATCGTAGAATCACAGAATGCTTTGGGTTGGAAGGGACCTTTAAAGGTCATCTAGCCCAACCCCCCCTGCAGTGAGCAAGGACATCTTCAACTAGACCAGGTTGCTCAGAGCCCTGTCCAACCTGGCCTTGAATGTTTCCAGGGATGGGGCCTCCACTACCTCTCCGGGCAACATGCGCCAGTGTTTTACCACCCTCATGGTAAAAGATTTCTTCCTTATATCCAGTCTAAATCTACCCTCCCTTAGTTTAAAGCCTTGCTCCTTTTCCTGTTGCAACAAGCCCTGCTGGAAATATTTTCCCCATCCTTCCTACAGGCCCTCTTTAGGTACTGAAAGGCTGCTCAAAGGTGTCCCTGCAGCCTTCTCTTCTCCAGGCTGAACAGCCCCAGCTCTCTCAGCCACACTCACACACACTCCTCATCAGTGTTCTCCAGCTCTGGGGACTGAGATATGACATGGATTTTCCAAACAGTACGTGAGGAGACCATTACTCCTAAGTGGAGTCCAATGCCTTTGCGTAGTCTCGAAACAAAAATCACGTATGATAATTTATTCTAACAAAGAATATGAACTTTTCTGAGTGTAGTCCTCTTTACCAAAATGAATACTGAATGGGCACTTTTAAAAATAGCCAGATACTCCCATGAACACTTTGCAGAACTACCCCTTCTGAATTTCCCTTCTGTGCATAGCATCACAGTATATTTTAGCATGCAGTAAATTAATCCATAAACTCCATAAGTTTATTTGCTCATCTGAAATGCAGTAAAGCAGCTTCCCCTCCTGTGAAATGCTGCCCCAGCTGTGACCAGTGGTGGTGGCTGAGCTGAAGTCTCCTCGGCATCCAGGTCACAGCCAAGGAGCTCTGGGGAAAGCAGACGATGCCCAGTGTCACCGCCTCGGCCCCAGCCATGGCACGGGGCGGCTGCAGCACAGCAGAGCCTGCGGAAGGCAACGCACAGCCCTGCTCCAGCTCACCGTCTGCTGTCTGGAGACGCATTCCCTTACGAAGAACTTATCCTCTTAGGGAAGGTTACGGTGGACAGATGGGATGATAATGTCTTAAACTGCTACAGGAAGATTTGTTAGGGTCTGAATGCAGGGAAGGCAGCTCTAGAGACCAGTGCACGGGCCACCTTTTGCCCCTTGTCTCCTTGGTCCACTTGAATGTGCAGCGACAGCAGAAAGGATTGATACACCCTTCTTGCTGTCTCCATGTCTCTCTGTCACACACACACAGAAAGTTCCCCCTCCTCCAGAGTCGCACATGCCTCTTACCATTAATGTGAGCAAAGGGAACATGGTAATTTTTTTGGCTTATTTTTGAAAATGGCCAAAGGCACATGGATAATTCTATGAGTTCTCCTTTACTGCAAATTGTAAACTTAATGAATTAAAAAAGCAGTCCTGGGAGACTTGAGAAGGTAGTTAGCAATTAAATTACAGTTGGAGGCTCCAAAAAGAACTAGCCCTTAATTCTGTAATAAAGCATGCCTGTGCTTTATTTTATGCATGTGACAATGTTGGTTCAGGGCTCCTCAGCAGCCTAGGAAAAAAACGATTTTGCCAAATTTTGTCACACCGAGGATGAGGGGGCAGCACCAGCTGCTCCCACCCTGCACCAGGAAGGTGATGATTTGGGGTGAGCACTGGGGGGGGTGAGGAACCAGGGGAACAAGGTGCTGGTCGCAGAGGAATGACAGGAGGGGTGACAGTGGCTGCTACTGAGCGAGGTCACCTGCCCTTCGTGGTAGGAGCAGCCGCAGACTGTCTTGGTGTCCCGGGTAAGGGAGCAAGCAGGCCAAGGTCACTCTGAAAGCCTCAGCTGACCATGATTTCATCATGGCCTCATCTCAGACCACACAAGCAGGAGAGCATGGCCAGGAGAGCAGGAGAGCATGGCCAGGAGAGCAGGAGAGCATCACCACAGGCATTTCTCCCAGAAGAACAGGGCCTTCACGCAGCCTCCTGTGACCAGTCATGGGCTCCTGTTGTCCCCTAGACTGTGCCCAGGATACAAATGCTCCCAGGGTGCAGGCGGATGCTGAACCCCATCTCATCTTGGTCTTGCTCCAGACCACATCCCAGCCCTGCTTAGTGAGCTGTAGAGGCCAAGACACGGGTACCACTGTACAAAGATTTAGGAATTCAAAGTGCCTTTTGAATGTAAGTCGGACCTACATGTTAGATTTAGGCATCTTAGTAGCTAGATAAACACATTATTCCCCTTACAAAGGTGGCCTCTACTCCTTCAGTGCCTCAGTTCTTCTCCAAAAGGTGATGTTAACTTTTCCCTGGGAGCTGACAATACCCATAAGGAAGACTGGGACCTGTAACAGCGTCGTATAAATGAAACCACACAGACTTTGAGATGACAAATTGAATTTTGTTTCTCATCAGAAAAGTAAACTCAGATGATCTTATTAGGGGTATTAGTTTACAGCAGAGAGTAACACATCTGTGTTTATTTTAAAAATACATTTTTCCACTCCATCACAAGTCTGTTGCCATTATAGCTGCAGAGGACTTTGTACTAAATGCAAATCTTATCCATTTAGGACAGCATTGGGCCACAGCTGTCCCTCTCAAAACTCCAGGCCACATCTCTGCAGGACAACATTTGTCAGATATCATCTACATCCTTACAGACTTAGCAGAGATATCAGCTCTAGGGTGGGCAAATTATTTAGATGACAGAAAATAAGCGCACAATCCCCCCGTATAAAAATATCCTGTATAGTATGAAACATTGTAAAGCTGCACACTTAGCCATGTCAAAAGCTAAATTAAATGGTGTTCAGAAAATCCTGAAGATCTCAGAATTACTCAGCAGGCCTGAATCAGCTGTTTGCTTGGTACAGAAATATTCCTACACTGTGCTTGACACATCTGTCCAGTTAGTCTTCCTTCAGAAGTGATCTTCTACTTTCTTCTGGTTCTACTCCTAATAAAGAATTATCCTCCAAAACACTTGTAAAAACAACACCTGCCATCAAGCACAACAGGCATGTAACCCTAGATAACACCGCCACAGAGGTTTGAAGCAAATAAAGTAGTTTGTTCCGGAGAATAGTGGTTTCCACTGATTACGGTACTTCCTATTTTGCATGAATCACAGTTTCATGGTCAGTGTTACCCCTAACCTTAATCGATGGTGTAAGACAGGAGAGAGAAGTAACTTGTAAGATAGTCACAAAGCAACCAGCATCACAGTTCAGCATCAACCCTTTCCATTGCCTCTGAGGAAAACCTGGGAATTGTCTGTGCCACCGGTTGCTGCACACACCCACTAGGAAGCTCCCCTGCAATAATACTCCATCAGCACTATAAAACAGGTGACTTTTAAAACCAGAACCAGAAAGTTCAATTTTCATTTAGGCAAGGTTTTAAATACTTTAAGTGGCTCAGGTAAACCCTACGTGGAGCTAAAAATTTGCCACGTCCAGGTAATCTATGCACTAAAAATATACTTGTTTTGATTACACTAACACATGTAACACATTTTTATAAAAAATGCATTTTTATGCAGGGACTACATTATCCAGATAATTGTAGTAAACTCCTGATATAAATTAAGGGCAATAAGTTTTAGATAAATCACTGCAAGCAGGGATATAAGCTTGCAGGAGCACAAAGAAGCCCAGACTCAGTAAGGACAACAGCACCCATTTGCTGCGGCTTGTACACACAACCTCTGTAGTGCCTGCACTGAGCCTAAGCCCCCAGCCCGTCCAGATATTGCAAATGCTATCACTTATCAATAGTGTAAATGTTAACTCTCATCAATGCACGTACAAATGTACTCCCTTGTCTTTAATATTTATCCAGAACCACCACACGATTTTAGTACCTACAAAAATGTTCACAAAAGACCTTACGCTGCCAGCCGTCTGCTCCTGGTGAAACCTTAAATTAAGGGAGCGTTAAATATCCGTGTTGCCTTGTGCTCCTGCTCCTCATTGTTCCTATTCACCCTCACGCTGCTCTGAGGAGTATGGATGTCCCCAGCAGAGCGTGGCTGACTAACACTCAGCATCTCTTGCCTAGCCCCCTGCTTCTGCTGAGGGGCAGCACCTCAAAATCTCTGTTGCAATTCTTGACACAACGCTACCCTAAAAGTAGAGCTCTAATTTTAGAGAAGAAAGCTGAGGCAAAAGAGGAGCTAAAAAAACAAAATTCACTCAGGGATGAGCCAGGCAACGTGGAGGAAGGACCTCCTCACAGCACCGCAGGGCAGCAGCACGCTTTCTGAACCAGCCCACCTTTTCTCACCCATGTGCTCCATTCTCTGCCTTGGTGGCACCCGGGGCAAACATTGTGCTCCCAGTTCATCTCGCCAGCTGTGTACTGCGGCACACGTTTGAAGGACACTTCTTGCTGACACTTCCAGATGATAATATTATTTATCTTCACAATAATCTTAGTTTGTGTCGCTCCAACTGTGGTAAATGGAGCCATACAGTCCCTACAAATCAGACACGCTATTTATCTCAACATAGCTGTGAACTTAACAGGCTGCATTTATGGTGTATGAATAATGTTTTTTCTGTTCTGTTCTAAATTTACTCCCCTTTATGATAATCAAGTCCTTTTGTTCACATCTTCAGCAGCTGCTAAATAGAAAGGAACAAGAGTATGTCATTTAAATACTCTTCTCTGAACTGTACATGAAAGTAGTGGATGAAATCTCAGTCCACTGAGCTCCTAAGGATTTCTGCCAGTGACTTCACGGGGCAGACTTTCATCCTCTGCTTTAAGCGGAAATGCTTTTCCCAGAATTTGGTCTTACAGATATAAAATCAGGCAGGCCACTTGGGAAGAATACAGGAATGTGGTCAGAGTGTGCAGGGATGCGACGAGGAAGGCCAAAGTCCACCTGGAATTGAAGCTGGCAAGGGATGTCAAAAACAACAAGAAGGGCTTCTTCAACTACATCAGCAGCAAAAGGAAGGTTAGGGACAATGTGGGGCCGCTGCTGAATGAGACGGGTGTCCTGGTGAAAGAGGATGCCAAGAAGGCAGAGCTACTGAATGCCTTCTTTGCTTCAGTCTTCAGTGCTAAGACTGGCCCTCAGGAATCCCAGGCCCCGGAGGTAAGAGACGAAGCCTACAAAGAGGACGACTTTCCCTTGGTCGAGGAGGACTGTGTGAGGGATCGCTTAAGCGATCTGGACGCCCACAAATCCATGGGCCCCAATGGAATGCACCCACGAGTGCTAAGGGAGCTGGCAGATGTCATTGCTGAGCCACTCTCCACCATTTTGAGAGGTCCTGGAGGACAGGAGAGGTGCCCGAGGACTGGAGAAAGGCCAATGTCACTCCAATCTTCAAAAAGGG